ACACTTGAAACGTCAGCTTTTATAATCGTAACGGTGGCCAATTTACCATTTCAACTTTGTTGATATATTGAAATTATTTCGTTACCCACACAGACGCAGCCCCAAACAGTTTCTTTAGAAACTATCAGCCTTTATTCCCAGCTTTGTTGGATGCTTCACAGGAATATTTACCGCTGTCGCCAGTTTCAACATCTCATATGGCAATAATTGTCTTTCCTTCTTCGATATGGAATTTTGCCCTTTGAATTTTTGAGGCACCATCTTTTTTCCAGATTGCATCTTTTGAATTTTGGAATAGGCAAGTTAATTAAAGTGTTCCCCATCCATTGTGGGAAGTGGCTGCTTTAGAATAATTTCAAAAATGGGTAGCTCTGCAAAGAGAAACAAGAGACCCATGACTGTGTCATGCACTTAGGAGGGCCTCGATGTGGTGATGGCCCTCATAGCTAACAGTTAAAACCCTAGCTATTTTATGGCTTACGGTCAATTTTTGTGTCCGTTGCGATTAAAATTCATTTTTTTTGTTTTATGGTTAGGTATTTTTATGATTAATGGTTAAAATTTGGCAGTTTTAATCATACTGGCTAGCCGTGACGTTTCACTTTTTGATCTTTCATTTTTCCTCTCCATTCAAAAGAACGTTTTCCATTTGCAGTACAAAAGAAGCTAGATTGAAGAGCTCTTGTCACCTCTTAATCAAACCTGCAATATTCTTCATTTCAATTGAATGAGTCTCATCACGAATTAAAAAGATCCACAAATCAACTTCAAGTTGTTGATAGATGCAAAGGAAGTAAATATCTAAAGGAATCGTTTCGAACAGTTAATCGCAGTTTTACCGCAAATTCTGCTCAGGAATGTCAGCAGTTTTTCGTGTTTTCATCACCTTGTTCATTGTCAAGATTGTTAATCTTTGTATCACATACAAAAATATGTTTTGACTTGCGCTTTCTTTGTCATTTCCCACCGCTCTATTTTGAACTTCTTGGATCTCTCCGTCGCAGAAATACATTTTTTAAAACATTTCGGCTTAGATGTTTATTTATTTATTTATTCATTAACTTTGCCAAACAACAACAACCACGGTGATAAAGAGAGAAATAAATCAAAAGAAACTGTGAATAAGTCATGGATACATTGCTTTTGAATGAGTTTTGAAGATAATTAAATGACAATGGGTAACTCCCGGACACAGTTGAAACTACTTGGTATTACTTTGAACTGCTGGGGTGATGTTGGCTGAATGGTCAGAATTCACATTTTAGCTATCGGTCAGTACAAAATACAGACTGCAAACCGGGTACGAAATGCAGACTAGGTACAAAATGCAGACTACAGACTCCACATTGGGTACAGAATGCAGACTGGAAATTT